TTCTAATAAGTCATCTGGAATTTCTTAATGCAGGTTTACCGATCCGGATGTTAACACTGACAAAATAATTAATTAACTTCTTATTTATTTCCGAAATTAGTACCACTCAGATCCTTAACCATTATGTCAGAAATCGTCTACCTGCAGGGTTTTAACAAAATGTACATTCCTGAGCTTATTTCGGGGACGTCATCAATCCAGCGCACTGGATCATAGTGACCATAAATAATTTATAGTAGCACATCATATAGTCATTCTTATTTACCAAAATACCTCGTATGTCATCCTAATAAAAATAGGAATCACTTGGTAAATCAAATAAACAAGAAATGAATATATATGCCTATTTTATATTATCTTACAGCTTAAGAGAACGCATCAATCACCGAAGGTCTAGATTACATCAATGATCATGGAGTCTCATAATTTTATCCTTCTGCGGTCCTGCTCAACACTTATCATAAGTGCTAGTGTAATTCTTCAGTCAAAGACCAGCTGAATTGAGAATAGACTACAGTCTTTTTCCAAGAGGGGTCTCACTGCCTGTCTAGACTGTGAACGAATAGTTTAGTCTTATAAGGAACTGATAGGTGATCTTTCTGTTCGAAACACTTCGAACCACACTATCTCAATATAAGACATGAAGTATGATTTGCATAAATAAATAAACTGCAAACATATTTGACTGAAACATGATGGCTAGATCAAAATGGAATCGATAGAATCTGCAAAACATAGCTTTTACAACATATCTCTAACAAAGACATTATCACTTAAAAGTCTACCAACAAGGAAAGCAGATTGTGCTTCATTTATACAACCCTGTACACAGCTCCTCAGTCTACTAGCAAGGATTTTTTAAATAAGCTTATAAACTACTGCACATAGACTAATTGGTCTGAATTGACCAAGGTTTTCAGGGGCAGCACAGTTAGGGACAAGAGCAATCAGTGTATGATTCCAATAACTGAGCAATTTACCTGAATGAAAGAAGCTGAAAACTATTGAGCATATTTCTTCCTTAGTTAAAGTATTTATGGTTGCAGTTTATTTATTTATGCAATCATAACTCCTTTATTTTACATTGTAGATAATATAGTTTGTCGTGTTGAACAGAAAGATTATACTATCGGTTCCTTGTAAAATATAAATTAATTGTTCACAGTCTAGACAAACAGTAAGATCCCTGTTGGAAAAAAAAACTGTAGTGTAGTCTTGATTCAGTTGATCTTTGACTGAAGGATTGCACTAGTACTTATGTTAAGTATTAAACAGGACCACAAAAGGATAAGAATATAAGATTTACTGATCGAAGTTATAATCTAGACCTTCATAGTTGATGCGTACTCTTAAGCAGTAAGATAATATAAAACGAGCATATATATTCATTACTTGTTTATTTGATTTACCAAGGATGATTTCTATTATATTAGGATGACATACTAGGTATTTTGGTAAATGAGGGTGTTTATATGATGTGATGTTATAATTTATTTATGATCACTATGTCCCAGTGTGCTGGGTTGATGACGTCTACGAAAACAGCTCAAGAATGAATTTTATGTCAAGCCCTGCAGGCAAATGTCTATCCGACATAATGATTAATGATCTGAGTGGTCCTGGTTTCAGAAATGGATAAGAAGTTGATTGATTATTTTTTCAGTAATTTAATTAATCAACAAACATTATATCTTAAACATATGAGGATAAATCAATCAATTAAACTAATATTAATTTATTAATTGGAGACGAATTAATTATAATTCGGAGCTAAATGGGGAGAGCAATAATATTACTCTAGTGAAATGTATTATTATTTAATTCTAATTAGGAATTAGGAATCAATGATACTCCATAATTTAGATTCCCTAAGGATAGGAATATTCCTTCTAGAATATTACCTATGGTTATGAGACTATGGAGTCTTCTAGAAGGTAATTAAGTATAAGGAGGAATATTATCCTAGATTTGAAATGATATGGAAAATAATTAGGATTTCTAAACTTAATGGAATAAACCCATGTTTAGCACCTCTTTGGGGTCCCTATTGTAGCATACAACTACACCAAATCCCCTAGCCTTATGAGACATATGCATCACACGTTTTTCCCTTCATATGGGGCTGATATTTTCGGCCATCTTACGTGAGAGAAAAAGAGTTTCTTTGAAAGAGAAAATTCGGATAAAACCGAGAGGTCATGGCCGCTAATACACCGGCAACCGGATGAAGCGACTGTGGTAGGGTACCAATAATATTTTCGCCGAAGTTGTAAACATCACTCGCCTCTGAAATTATAAGCATCCTTGATAACAATCCAATAGGGCAAATCCTGAAAAATAAATAACATATTTGTTCTATCACCCAATTACAAATTCAAAAAAACATATGAAAAAAAAATGTCAACTTTGATAGCAAACTTAAGAATTAATTAGGTCTATTCACAAAGTCAACTAAACCCATGAAAAAGAGAGGCTCGTGGCAGCCATGGTTTCTTCGGGACCACCGACGGTTGCTTCGACCAAGAGGTTGCTGCTTCTCTTTTCCTTGTACAATTTCACTTTGAAAATTATGAGCCGATATCCAAATTAAAAAAAAACGTGAGGGATAAATTTGTCAATCAATAGAACAAAGTAAAGGTTTCCAACCAATGTCAGTGGTTACATTAGTCAAACTATTATAGAATTATCCAAGCTAGCTTTTCGATATGTATGAAATATCTGAATCTAAAATTATTGATTTAGAATAACATTATTTTTTTTATCCGAACCAAATTACAAAGCATGATTTTTATCCAAGTAGGATTTCGAAGACTACCACTTAGGCTCAGTGCATCCGCTAACTTTATATAGGGGATATTAATAATATTGAAGATAATGAAATGAGCAAAATTTGAGTCAAATTTTAAATTAAATAAGTAATTCAAATCCTTATCGACCAAAGCAAATTTTTTATCCTACCAATTTTGGTTATCCATGTTTGCTTTCTAGGATGAGAGTGGATTAAAATATTTCATTTGTGAAAGATTCTACTAGGAAGAAAACGCTCTCCATAGCGAAAAACCCTACCCCTAATCTCTGCTTCGTCTTCCTCAAATTTTAGTCTTTCAGCCTTCCTCGACGACGAATTAATCATTTTCTCCTCCTTTTTCTTTTTTGAATTAAGCTCGGTCAGGGGTCGTTGAAGATCGCTCGTCCTTCCTCTTGACGGTCTGCGCCTCTGATGTCGCAAGAATGGGTCTGCGATTGATGGTGGTGCTCGAGGTCGCGGCCGAGTTCCAGTGGGTGGTGGCGTCTTCTCGATTTTGCGGAGGTATGTTCTATCTACTACTCGTCTGTGGGTTCCTGTGTTGCTGTGCCGACGGGGTTTCGCTCTTTGGGTGGGATCCAGTTTGGGGTCGAGGGTTCTTTTCGGCGGTGTTGGGCGGAGCAGACGTCATTGGGAGGGATGGGATGCCGGGTTACTGCAGCATTCCTGTTGCAGTGTTCGGGGTTGAGGGCCCGATTTAGTCTCTTACTCACCGACGAGTGGTGTTTGGCGGTGGGGAAACGGGTCCGATTGAGTTCGGCTAGTGGTGTTAGATGAATTCGGAGGGGCTTGTTGGGGCTAATGGGGCTCTCTCGGTCTGAGACGAGTCGATTCGGGGATTGGTTCGGGGCTCCAGTTCTCCTACTGTATAGGCGTTTGCGCAGTTTCGGTAGTGGATTCTGGGGCTGGAATCTTCTTGTGTCGATTGTTCACCGCTGGTTGGGGTTGTTCGTTTGCTGGGGAAGGGCCCCTTTTTCTTTTCGTAGTCTTTCTTTTTGTAGTGTTTGTTTGGTTTGTCTGTGTTGGTCCTGTGTTTGTCTTTGTGTTTTAGGTATGGGCCGTTGGCCTCAGTTTGCCCGAGTGTAACCTTATTATCCTGTTGGGATTCCATACTCGGACATTATCCTGTTGGGGTCGTCTTTGTGTTTTTCTCTAGTTTTTTAGTGTTCTAGTTTATTGTGTTCCCGAGGATTACCCTGTTGGGGTCGGCTCTAGGCGGTTGACTGATGTCTGTTGACTGTCCTCCCACTTTTATTCAGCTATTGGTTGCTTGTATTCAGCTTTTGGCTGCTTGTATTCAGTCGTTGGTTGCTTTGCACTTTTGTGCATATTTATATATTACCTCTATCGTTCCGAAAAAAAGAAGGATTCTACTGTTTGGATAAAGCTAATCCTATGTTTGTTATATTAGATAAGGAGCAGAAATTCTATGGTGCCATATGTGGCACCATAGAATTTCTGAGATAAGGAGTATGATAACTTTAGTTTTAAAAATATTGTCTAGGTAAACACAAATCAAACAAAAATAGTGTAAAATACTATTTTATCCTCTGAAATAAACCAGTCACAAAACAATTACATGAAAATGAGGGTAAAATGAATTTTAGCTTGCTAGAATTGACTTATACCGATTAAATGGGATAAAAGCCATTTTCATCTTGAGCACTCTATCTGAGGCAGCCTGAATCATATGAAACAAACATGGGATAAAGGAAGGATAAGCAAGCAAGGTATCCTGCTAATCCCTTCAAGCAAACATGGGATGATATTAAAACACACGATACCACCAATCGACAGGCGTTTCGCTGTCTTTCTTCCCCATTTTTTTGGTTAATTCCTTTGATCTCCAATATTCTTCTGCTTTCCACCCTCTGTTCCATTTTGTTTTCCTCTAGCAATCGATAGTCTTTGAAATTTAATTCTTGTGCGAAAATGGAAAACCCCAACGGCAAGGCAGCTTCCGACGCCACCACTGGCACCGGCGCGGAAGGAAACCCTAGTAATGATGCCCCCCGCGTAGGCGACGGCGAGGATAATCGCAGGCGGCGAACTCCTTTTACGGACCTCAGTCAAGTCGATGCGGATCTTGCCCTTGCCCGTACTCTCCAAGAACAGGTGTTTCCTTTATCTTCTTCTTTCTTTCCTTTCTTTTCGTTCATTTAAAAAATACTTCAATTCTGATTGGTGGAACTTTTTTCCTTTTTCTAGTAATTCTGTGTTGGAGCTGCAACGTCAATTGGTTGCCTTCTGTGTTCTGAAGTCTGTTTCTTCTGGCTTCGAACATATATATCTTAAAGTTGTTGACTGAAATATGTGATTACTTTCCTTTCCTTTTGTTCTAGTTTAAATATCCAGGTCTATCAATTAGTAACAAAATTCATGAAATTGATGTAGTTTAAATGCCTGATTGATGCTGTTTGTTTATATCATAAATTGTCATAATATGATAAGAGTTCGACTAGTATGGCTTTGGCTCTGTGCACCTAATGTAACATGAAACTGGCTGCAACATTTGTATGGTCCTTGAAACAATGAAGTGGTGTAATATGTGTAGTATAAAAATAGCGAGGCAGTTTGCCTAAATGAAACAACAATAAATGAAGAAATATCTTGGCAGGGCTGGAAACACGTGTTTTACTTGAATATTACGGGTGTCCACGAAATAAAGAAAATGGAAAATCACGGGGGAAGAATTATAGCTATGCCTGTGCATGACAGAATGAATCAAACTAAAGTTTCGGTATGGAGCTATAAGAAAGAGTAATTGAATTTGAAACTAGGTTGTGAAAGAAGTAGTTAACTTGATAATCATACTACTTTCCTGCTAGAAATGTCTAGAATTGAACATTGAAAAGACTAATATTCTGCAAATTGCATTATAACAAGTAGTTTTATTGACCCTGCAAAGGTATATGACGATCAACCTGGTATAATATGGTTGATATTGGCTTGAAAGCAGTTTACTTGGATTTTATTAAAGATGTTGACGTGATGTTACATGTGTAAGGAACCCCAATTGGGATTTCTATTGAATTCCTAATACTATTGGTTCACATCAGGGGTCAGCATTTATCCTCGCAGTTTCTCTTAGAGTAAAAATACTTGGCACTTACATAAAACCTTGCTTAACTCATATCTTTTGCAGATTATAGTTTAACTGTTGCGATGAGAGTATTAGTTAAAAAAATCGGAATCTCTAGATAAGCAGTGTCATCAGAAGTTTTGCCATAAATTGGGCGACAATTGATTGTTAATGACCGACGGCTTACACTAAATGGAAACTTTATAAAAATATTATTGCACCTGCCTTAGGAACAGAATGTTCAGCGACTAGATGTGAACGCTGTAGTAGCGATCGATTTTAGCATAAATGACATCTTTGGTTGGATCTGCAGATACTCTTAGGAAAACCAAAAAATGGAGAAAAAATGGAGCAGAAAAATAGGTGAGAAAGTTAAAGGAAATCAATTTAGACGGTTTACACGATTACACTGGAGGCCTTATGATACTCACTGCAACATGTAGAAAGTAGGGAATCAGTTCCTCTTGAAAGTCAGTTTATGTCTAGACATAAATGAGCATATAGCTTTGACCAAATGAGATGGCATAATATGATACACTTGGCTAACTTGCATGGAACAAAGTTTTTATTGTTGTTCTACCGATTTTTGTCGAGAACTATTAATTTGTTTATCCCTGTCTCTTTTATTGGTGGAACAGGAAAGAGCTTATATGATGTTAAGAATGAATTCTGGTATTGGCAGTGACTACGAAAGTTGGGAAGCTGAGAGTTATGGGAATGAAGATGTTTTCGACAATGATGATTTTGAGGATGCCAGTGGAGAAGATTATGATGGTTCTGATGTGGAAGTTGATGATGAAACAGAAAATGCATTTGGTGTGCATGCTCCTGAAGCAGGAGATGAAAGTGGCAATGAAAATGCTGAATTAGATCCGTCGGCCTTTTCAAGCGACGAGGCCTATGCTAGAGCCTTGCAAGATGCTGAAGAGCGGGAACTCGCAGATAGATTGCTAGCCCTGGCGGGGATCAATAACAGTGAGATTCTGATTTGTAACTTGCTTTAACTCTCTTTAGACAATCTCTCTTTTACGAGGTTTGTCAACGTATGTGATTATTAAATTTTGTTTAATGATTTGCAGTGGTTGCTGAAGATGAAGATGAAGATGAAGATGTGGATGAGGAAGAAGAGGAACATGATGGTAATCTTCAGGTATATCTGCTATGACTTTTCTTGCATCTCCTTCTTGAACGTTTTTATCATACTGGCATAGCGGATTGTTGTGACTCGAAATTTCTGAAATTGACCTTGTATTTTCTCGGTGTTGAACATCTTAAGAGCTTGATACGGGGGATTTTCTGTCTGTGGACTTTCACTAAATAGTTATTGGTTAAAAAAAAAAAAAATTGTCTAATCCACTGTAGGGATATAAGTTCTTATTGCTCCTATTTGCCTTTTCTAAATCTGTGTTTTAGAACAAAAAGTTAACCAAAAACTCTTCATCAAACATCTCGAATGGAGGATCCAACTAGCCAAACCTCTAAATATGGTCCAGTCCGCTTAATTTAAGCTCAAACCTCTGTACCAAACACAACCATTTAACTGTGGGCATCTCAAAAGTTTGATCGTTGTTGTAGTACAGGTTGTGTAGTTTTTGTTGGCTATTAGAGATAGCTTATTAATTAGTGGATAGGTGATAGCTAATTTAATTTGGTTTTCTGACTAGCTGATTGCATAAGCCATTTATATGTTGTTTGTTGAATAGCTGATAGCTGAATAGATACTTAAATGTAAAAATGACTAATAAGATATTGTTGTAAGTTATCGAACTATATTATTCATTTGCTAATAATATTGATACATGTGGTGGATTTGGAAAATGTATAATAACATTTATAATATAAGAAAGCTATTGTTCTATGATAATATTTAGTCATTATTTATCTATTCATGATTAACTAATATATTATACTTTTAAGAGCATAAGAAATATATTATGAAAAAAAAAATGATTTTATTCTGTAGTGGTTAAACAAACTAAATAAAAAAAAAATAAAAAATAAGAGTGATATATTCCATGCATCCAACAAATTAGCAACTAGATTAAAAAAAGAATTTTAAAAAAGACAAAATGGAAGAGAAATAAAATAATTTATATTTCAAGTTTAACATATTTGATTACTTTTTTTTATTTTATTTTTATGAAGGACCGAATCAATCATCTCTTCTCACAATTCACTCTTTTCAAAATGCTGGTATACCCAACATTTCAAAATCAATTTTTTAGACCCAATAAGTTAATGGAATCATCTATTTACCAAAAAATCAAGTTAGAGGGTTTGATAAGTCAATCCTATAATGCATCGTCAGACCATTAAGTTAGCCTTTGAAAACAATTTTACCAAATTTTATTTGTTGCAACTTTTCTATGCATTTCCGAAGGACAATTTTCTGAATGCCCAAAGTATGGCAGAATGGATTTTTATGAATGTGGCCGGAAGTATGAGCATTTGTTTGTGTGTGAGTGGTTATGTTACATATGCATTGGAGTTGGGTGACAATTCCTATCTGACAGTCGAATATGCAAGTATTAACTCCAACTTTAGACCAAAGTTTGATTATGGGTTTTGAATTTGAATCTACATTATTTGTAGATTTTCTGATTAGTAGGTGATGATATATAAAACATATCACCCTCAGGAACTTTGTTTAGCAAGGTAAACCATGTGAACTGTTCATCACTTGGGAAGGTGGGTACAAATGTGATTATAGAAACTTTTTGCATGGGGAAGTGAAGTAAGAATAAGATGGAAAGAATATTGAAACTCCCTACAAGCAGGAAATTGGTGAGGGGTAAATTCGCTCTAAATCTCATGTAGGGGAAAAAGTACTATCACGGTGCTGCATTAAGGAAGCTGTACATCAGCTTGTAGATCTATGTGCTGATATTTTGCTGCCTACTATATAATATAATATAATATTTATGTATCTTCTTGTATTATATGAATTGGTTTGACTATTTTATCTCGTCCAATCACCTTCTTGGGTTGCATAATGTTGTTGCAACTAAGCGGGATTATTGTTACTCTGATTTTTTCTGACCATAATCCTGCTGTTGCCTTTTGTGAATTCTTACAAAGAAATTGAGTTGCTGCAACTAAATGGGATTATTTTTACTCTGATTTTTTCTGACCATAATCCTGCTGTTGCCTTCTGTGAATTCTTACAAAGAAATTGAGTTGTTGCAACTAAACGGGATTATTTTTACTCTGATTTTTTCTGACAATAATCCTGCTGTTGCCTTTTGTGAATTCTTACAAAGAAATTCATTTGTCAAATTCAGAAATAAAATCTGAACCTGACTTAGTATGTCTCTTCACATTATTCGTTTTCTGGATAATTTCTGATTGTGATTCGACTTGTATGATTCTTGTTATTATACAAATAGTAGTAATTCACAGTTCATATTTGTGAACACGTACTTTTTCCTGCCAATGTTAATAATTCTCAAGGACACATGGGAAGAGGTTGACCCAGACGAACTCTCATACGAGGTAAATTAGGATTCACAATCATGTTACTGTTCTTTAATGGCACATTTTGACTGGAGTTTCATGGTTGATCTGATGTTTCAGGAGTTGATTGCACTTGGTGATGTTGTTGGAACTGAGAGTCGGGGCCTTTCTGAAGATACAATTGCTTCGCTACCTTCCATAAAGTATCAATCACAAGGCATTCATGAAGGAAGTGATTCGTAAGTAAATATGGTATTTTATTTTTTAATTTTTTTTGCCAAGCAATATTAGCCTTTATGTTTTTCTTACCCCTTATGTGAGCCTTCGTTGTGTGTTTGTGAAATGTTTGATATCTTACCCTTTTTGCCTTAGGTGTGTTATATGTAGGTTGGATTACGAGGATGGCGACACCTTGACTATTCTCTCTTGCAAGCATTCATATCATAAAGAGTGCATTAACAATTGGCTACAAATAAACAAGGTAAACTCTTCCCTAAATCAACCATGTTGTAATAACATTAAACAGATTCCGAGGATCTTATATCATTCTTCCGTATCTGTTTATGGAAAGTTACTGTTGAGGGTATGACTTGTAGTTTGTCAATAGAATGCTAGTGAGGCAAAATAAAAGAACACAAATTCTTCTAATGTCATGCTACTTTAGCAGAACCACATACTTTTGCTGTGAAATGCTATATTTTCGTTTATTCTTGTTTTATAGAGTATGACATCAGTTGGAAAGATGTATCTGTTAAACAATTCGGTTGCCTATTAGGCATGTTGCTAGACAGTTCTCTTCAAATGATACCTTGGTATTGTCGTTGCATTGTCTACTCTAACCGGTTAAGGAGGCTTATATATTTGACTTAATTGCTTTTTTTGCCAAAACACAAAATAAAGATTTTAAGCGATTAGAAAAAAGGCAACTGTTAGCTGAATTATTTGGTTAAATCCTTTACAAGGAGACTGAAAATATGGAATGTATTTCTGTATTTCTACTTTGCTACATGGTGTTCTTTGGCCTTTCAAACTTTTTATGTTGTGTTTGGATGTCAGAACTGAATGAATGATCTCGTGTGTGTAGGTTTGTCCTGTATGCAGTGCTGAAGTGTCAACTCCTGGGAGTAACTAGTGTACGTCAACAGCAAGCTAAAGATATTTGGCGTTATGGCGCAAAACAAAAGGCTGTCTGTTATGGTTATGGCAAACTGATATGGTCCATTCGCGAAATAAAAGAGTAGACAAAAGAATTGTATCCGTACATGTTTCTGCCCGACTTAGTAGTTATATATCAACCACAATTGAAGTTTGATCATATTCTTTTCTCGTAATTGGACACTGAAAAATTCAGTTTTTGTGTGTATACGAGCGTGGGTGGGAGGGCTTGTGGCACATGACTTTTATCCTTGGAAGGGAGAAAAGGGAAAGCTGAAGAAACAGAATTCTGGGTCTTTAATCAATTACTATGCAATATCATCTTCAACTCTTATTTCATTAGTTTAAAATCTTCAACTCTTATTTCATTAGTTTAAAATTTTCGAGTAGTGAAACAAAAATCGAAGCTTGTTAACCTTCCATGCTGCATTAATTTTAGAGATATTTTCATCCCGTTATGAAGAAGAAATAATTTTATACACCGTCAATAAGTTAATTTTTTTACCTAAAAGTGCGAAATAAATTATACGATAAGCTGTATGCGACAGACGAAGATAATTTTCAAAGTGCGAAATAATTAAGCGATAGGTGTTGGGTTCTATGAGCTTAGTCCTTCTCGTGTACATTCGAATCTATTAAAAACAAATTTTAAATGCAGCGGAATCTATTGTTAGGATTATGACATACATTTTAATTTTTTTGTTGACTTTGCGACGTTTTTTATTTTCACTGTTGGAGATCGTTTGAACCTCAGAGTCCGTTGAGTTGCTGGACTTGGCCTCACCTTCACCAAACATTGACCGTCTCTCGTCTCAGGTCCTTGCCCCTAGCGTTGGACTGTCTTGGATCGACGGTGGCTAAGTTGAACTGCTCCAGGGTCGCCTTGGGCTTGTCGGGGCTTTTGGACTGAGCTGGGCAGGCCTGGACCGTTTCTGGGCTGAACTCGACTAAGTTGGATCAGACTGGGCCAGGTTGGATCGAACTGGACCGGGTCTGGTGCGCTGCTCGCGCCCTAGGCCGCGTTGGGCACGCCTGTTGGGCAAGGGTGCAAGTGGGTCACATAGCACGCACTGACGTTGGGCTTGGGGCGACACGAGTCGTTGGAACTTCGCGCACGAAAGAACTAAGGAGCACACGGGTCGCGAACCTCGCTGTCGGGTCGCGTTGAAGCAGGGGCTCGCTGTCGGGTCTCGCGAAGGGCACGCGGGTCACCGTGCAAGTCGCGCAAGGAGTACGCGGGTTGCTGGGGGTCTACTGCCTGCATGCATAATGGAACGGGTCTCTACAGGTTTGCGCGCAGACAGGATGCATGATGAAGATCGCATGTTTCGACAACTTGGCGTGCTTCGAAAGTCGCTTGGATGGCTTCCTTCTAGGCGATAGAGTGTGGACGACTTGGAGTTTTCCTTGTCTACTCATGGGTTTGAGACAGCTTGAATGATGTATCATTGTCGAACTCGGACTTATGTCCAACTATGCGATGGCACTCCCTTTTTTGCACAAGGATTTTGCACTAAAACTCAAGGAGAATTCCAACAAAATAAGTTAAATAAAAGTTCTGCATTTTATAGATCAGAAGCTGAAGAAATTCGTCCCTAAACATGGGTATTTAAAGAAAATAACTAAGTGTAGTCCTAATGGAAATAAGCCTTTATTTCTAAGAAAAGTAAATAACTAGAATCTTAAATATATCCAAACTAATGCTGTAACGCCCAGATTTTTATATTACTATTTATGGAGCTCGACTATATTTCCATAAATATTAAGTTTCTAAATTTGATGCATTATTTAAATTTATTTGCATTAAATTAAATAATTAGTATCAAAGTCTAAGACATGAATAATTCTTTCGACTTTAATTATTAAAGTTGGAATTCTATTTAAGTG